CGAACTCTTGCATCCGCTCTGCACCCTCTCCTGAAGCCTGCCGCCCCCAGGATGTCCCCATGCGACCGCTGGCGCAATTGTCCCCGCCTACGGAAACGCGTGATGTCTCCGTGGATGTCCTCCGGGTCGTCCCGCATGATCTCCGCGGTGCGATCCCGGAACTCTCGGTCTCTCTGCTTCTAGGGCTGAGGCGGACCTTCGTCGTCGGAGGCGCCCTCGACATAGTCGTGGGACGCCTGCATCTTGCGCCCCATGTCCTCATCATCTCCCCCGGCGGGCTGAGGGCCCCCAGACCGATGCCTTTTGAAGTCTCTTTGCGACGCTGGATTGATAACGGTTAGGTCGACCCGCGATTCCTCACAATATGTAGAGAGCCTCTCAGGGCCGGGGTCGACGCAGTATGGTTCGTAGAACTGGTGTGTTTCTAGCTCTTTCCCCCCGTACTTTGCCCCAATCCATTGGGCGTCACTTTCGCATGCGAACTCGAGAAGATGCTCGACGAGCAGCTCTCGGTCATTGCGGATATCTTGTATATGCCCCCTTTGCCGGGCACTGCGGAGACGCCGTCGCGCCGCGCGATGCGCCCGGCGATACTCGAGCCGAGTGGGGTCATAGACCCCCTTTCCACCCCCGAGCCCCCCATGGAGCGAAGAGGGCCTGGGTCCGCTGCAGCCGTGCGAAGTCGAGCTCGAAGTGGTCGCCAGCAGACACCTCGGGGCAACGCAACCACAGCGCCTTGGCGCGGGTCTGCGGCGGCGCGGCGAAGTAGAGACGGAGGGCAGTTCTCACCAGGCGAGGGCGAGGGCAGCAAGATTGTCTGTTCTTCTCTGAGACTACTGCCATAACCCCCCCAATTCCGGCGGCGGAGCCAGGATCTGGCAATCGCATGTGACAGCAATTCCGTCGCCGAACAGCTCTGCTGCATTGGAGCAGGTGGCGTGCTGCCACGGCACTGCGAAGGGGTCTTTGAAGGCGTATACCCCCTCGGCGGGCGTCTCTGAGCCCTTGCAGTTCTTCGCCCGCCCGCCGTCGCCCACCCCGGAGGCGACGAACGCGCCAGCATTGAGAGCGGCGCCAAGCCCGTTGATGTTGACGGCGTGCGAATAAAACTTCCAACCTGAGTCCCGATTCAAGCGCACGTAGTCCGCTGGCAGGTCAAGTGGAAGGGTCATCACGGTCTGCTCCGACTGGGAGACAACGGCCATTCCTTCCAGATCAAGAAAGTCGCATACCACCCGTCCGTCAGCCGCGCACAGGCGTCGGGTGGCGAGCCGCTCGGTCACGCAGCGACCGAAATAGTTTCTGGCGGGCTTGGGCAAGCGTGCTCGGCGCATTGCCGCCGCGGGCCATGCCTTGGAATGGACGTGCATGCCATTATTCCTGCAGGAGGAGTCATCGGGCATCAGTTCCCTAGCCAACAGCTTCGGGTGCGACGGTATGCGCGACAACAGCAGCTTGTACGCGTCGGAACTGTCGTGCTCCTCCCCTTCAGCGTAGCCTCAATATCTTGTGTCCAGCTTGTGGCTGCGCCTGGCCCGACTATGATCGGCTGCTGGTGGACTCGACTGGCCTCGAAGGCGGACGGGCAAGCAGTCACTCTGTCCTCGGTGTTGCACATCGGGTAGACCTCCGGGGCCCCGTCAACGATGCGATGCTCCGAGAGCGCAAGCAGTGAGTCCTGCATCTTCTTCCAGTCATCGACCAGGCTTGTTTTCCACATCCTGGAGGCGCCGCTGGCATCGCCAGCGGTCGCCCCGTTCTTGCGGCCCCCCCTGGGGTCGAGCACGGCTATCTCACCCCATTCCCGCAGCGCCTAGAGACATCGCGTCATCCTGGCATCCGGCGGCGCGGCGCGTCCAGCGTCAGGGCTGGCGACCACTGCTGGGAAATAGACGAGCGGGTCATAT